CACCGTTTCTCTGCCAAATTGCCTCAGAAATTTTTCATCCAACAGTGTCATGAAAGCTGCTCTTAGCAGCCAATCAGAATGTTCAGGAGAGGGGAGAGAGAATTTTGAATGTGTAAAATGGCCTGGAAGCCAATGATGAATTCTCTTTTTTGCTTCTGCTGTTCCATGTGGGAGGGATTAATGTGTTCTGAACTCCTGGTACACACCACCATCAACTGATTTTGCTCCCTGACTGCCTTGCCTTGATCTTAGATCCTTTCCTTTGTCCTTTTTGTAATTTTTTTGCACTGGGAAACCCCTCCATTTTTTGAGATTATTTTTGCTGCTGCCAGGGAGCCTATTGTCACAATGTGCCTCCTTGGGATTATTATTATTCAGAGAGAGAGAGAGAGAGAGAGCGCAAGTGTCAGAGGGGATGGACTTTGTGACTGTCCCAGTGCTCCACTGAACTGTACAGGTAATTGTTGTGATCAGTTGAGCAAATTCCTCTTGCTGTTCTTGGTGCTTTGTTGTTGTTGGCTGCTCCAATGAGTTACTGTAGGTGTCTCTGTGGGGCTGCTTAGCTGCTACTGTGCCTTTTTTGTGTATGTTGTGCTGCCTAAGCCTAAAGAGTCTTGTTGTGCTAAGTGGGTGATACTGTATTTACACTGTTGTCTTGCATGTGTCTGCTTAGTTCTGATTATGATTTCACTTCGTCATATTCTGTTGCCTGCTTATGGAACAGATTGACTCTCTGCTGCTTTGCCTCTCCTGTATTAGAATTGTTTTCAGGGCTTTTGGAGTGCTGGGAAATATTAAATGAATGACCTGAAAGAGGTATTTCATTTTTATGTAAAGTGAAAGAATTAGAACAGAAAAAAAAAATATAAAAACAAAAGAAAATGAAAGAAGATGAAACCTAAAATTAATGAACTATGAAACACTTCAACGTACACATCTCTACTGAGTACTTCTGATCCACATAGCAAGCCACATATAGCATTTCAATGGCCACGGGAGGCACCACAGTATGGCAGATGTTATGTGCATCTGCAGCCTTCCTGGACTTGACCATATGTGCTGGTTGCTAGGTTTCTCTGATTAAGTGTTCTGGGCAGGGATTATGCTAAGCAATCAGATGAATTCTTCCCAATCAAGACTCAGAAATGACTAGAAAGCAAAGCAGTTTATTCTAAGTGAAAACTGAAGGAGATTTGTCAGGGTACACCAAGGTGTGTACAAACTGATTTTTCATGGTGCTAATTCATATAGTTTCAGTGTGTTTGTGTGCAGATGTGTGTGCATGCCGACATTCATGCAGTACGCATGTATATATGAACACAGCTACAATGCAGTAGAGGTTGGTTCTTGCAAGTCTTCCAATAGCTTCTTAAGCAGAAATGGTTCGATTTTGGCCACTTATTGTAAGTGGATGGGAGGGGTAGTGTTGTCATGCAAGGGACGTGGTGGCGCTGTGGGCTAAACCGGAGAAGCCTGTGCTGCATGGTCAGAAGACCAGCAGTCGTAAGATTGAATCCACGCGACGGAGTGAGCTCCCGTCGCTTTGTCCCAGCTCCTCAGCAGCCTAGCAGATCGAAAGCATGCAAATGCGAGTAGATAAATAGGTACACCTCGGTGGGAAGGTAAAATGGCGTTTCCTAGTCACGCTGGCTATGTGGCAATGGAAACTGTCTTCGGAGAAGCGGTGACTCTACGGCTTGAAGACGGGATGAGCAGCACCCCCCTAGAGTCGGACACGACTGGACTAAAAATGTCAAGGGGAACCTTTACCTTTACCTTAGTGTTGTCATAAAGATATTTAGCTCGATACTACAAAGGTGATTGCTTTTAATGCACCTATACAATTACAGGTAAACATCTATAGGTTGATGGGAATAAATGGTTATGCTTAAGTTGACCAGCAAATGTGTCCAAATGCAGAGAGCCCCTGGAACTCTGCTTGGTGCTGAATTTTACTTTCCCTTTCCCATTTTTTCTCTTCAAGTGAATCGAAGGGGTAGTATAAGACCCTGGGATACAGGGAGAGGGGTTGTGAACAGGTGACTCATACTTCTTGCATCTCCCAGGCATGTAGCTATGACATGTAGTTCTACAAAATAATTGTAAGAAGAGACAGGAGTTATTATGGCAGTTAACTGAGTACCCATTGCTACTGCATGTGGCACCTGTAGGTTGTTGGGAAGCTGAAGTGACAAGGAAGAAATTGTGCTTAATTTTCCAGTTGCGGGTGATATATGAGTCATTGCTCAATTGGACTAAGATGGGAAAGGCTTGGAAACAGTTTCTGGAAGATGAGAAAATAAGAGATATTTATCTCTCTGATTAATATTTTTTGTATCTGCTAGTGACCTGAGGTGGCTTAAGTAGTGTACTAGCAGTATGGTAGGTTAGATGGAGAAATAGTCATGTCCTCAAATCTTTTTTGTATCTGCTAGTGACTTGAGGTGGCTTAAGTAGTGTACCCATCTTTTATACTAGCAGTATGGTAGTTTAGATGGAGAAATAGTCATGTCCTCAAATATCTGCACAGCTGAGATGAGGGTCAAGTTGTTGTTTGTGCATAACCTGCCACTATCTCTTTGGCTGAGTACAAGCTATGCATGAGAAATGTCTCTGTCTCTGATTTTTTCTAACTAAGAGGATCCTGGGTGATGAGCAATGCCCTTGCCTTGTGAGCCTAGAGTGCCAATGTCAGAGTAGATAGTCCTGGGCTAGTGTGGTGTAGCGAATACAGTAGTGAAACAGGACTCAATAGACCTGGGTTCAAATTACCGCTTGGCTATGAACATTTATGAGGGATAAAACCCACTGCTTAAACCATTCCTTGAGTATCTCACTTACCTTAAAAGCTCAACTGGGGTTGATATAAATTAATTCAGACTTGATGGCATATAATACAGATGGACAGATGTTATGACAAGAGTGTTCACTGTGCTTTACATACCAGAAAATGGAGTGGAACTAGTCCAGTATGCACTTCAAGTTGAAAGCTATAGGTCAGTGGTAGAACACATGCTTTGCATATAGGAACTCCCAGGTTCAATCCCTAGCATCTCCATACAGACTTGGGAAGGACCTTTGCCTGAAACACTGATGAGTCAGCATTGGTCAGCCTAGACAATGCTGAGTAGATAGACTGTTATTATAAGGCATTTTGTGTGCTGTAGCCTGCCTTTTGCTTTGACGTGCTTGTTTTCTTGTACATAGAGCTTGCAACATGGGAGGAGTTTAGAAATGTGTAGTTGAAAGTGATTCGATGCAATTAAGGATTCTACCACCTAATAACCTTGTGTAGACTAGGCTGTAGTATCTCAATGCATGCACAAAGCAACTTTTAGCTAAAGCCAATCAAAGTAGGCTTTCCATAAGGGCATTATTTTGAATTATGTCAAGAAACAGCAGTTCTCTCTCCCTCCCTCTCCTTTCCCTCTTTCTTTCTTGGATAAGAAATGGAGAAGATTGATTTACTGCTCCTACAAAAGCAGGTCACTGTCTCCTCTCTAGTCATTTTTTAAGCCCACAGAAAGATCTGTTTCTTAGGGCTCCTTTGTTTGAATCAGATGCCTGACCCTTTTGAAGTTCATTCCTCATTGGTTACAGTACACAAGCTTTGCCACTCTCACTGTTTCATACACAGCACTGTCCTTGTCTGTCACAAGATCTGAGGGAGATCTGATCTGTAAGGAAGTTAGCTCAAAATAAAGCCTTGGAGGGCCCATCCTGTTCTGGAGTGGGTTTAACTCTATAGTTTCCTAAGGAAGATAGTGGCATTGGTTGTTGAAAAGTCACAATTCAATGTTATTTTTGAACATTACTCATAAGACCGCAATATTCTTAGTTTGCAAAGTGCCATGTTATCCCTAACTTTTAAGGACTGATAGATATGGGAAAGAAATGTAACTGGGAAGCAGGGTGAGTTTGATTTAAATTACATTTTTTTAAAAAAAAAAAATAAGATTTTTCTGATTGAAATCAATTTGATTTAATAAAATCAGTTATTTTTATCTCCCTTGCTGGGGAGTCATATTATGACCGCAGTTGAGTCAAAGTATTATGATGCTTATACATTTGTGTGTGTGTGTGTTTAAATTAAATTATTATAGTATTTTGAGCATTCTAATGATGCTCTTAATTCTATTCGATATCTTCAGTTTAGTTTTTACAGAAAGGTACAGGAGTAGATCATTTTATAAACAACAAATACAGGTTGTTAGAGAGACCCCTTCTCTTCTCTGAAATGCCTGCAAATGAGGGTGCTCCTGACTGTCCCCCCACCCATGCAAACATCTCTTGACATCCTCCAGTAAAGAGAGGGCTGTTTGACAGCCTTCAGTGAAGAAAGTTGTGCAGTTATGGCCATATGTTTCAGAGGCTGACATATTTCTTCTCGCTCATCAGGGTTATTTTGCAGCTAGGTTAAAGAGGAGGCTGTGAACAGCTTCCAGAGTTCAAATTGAGGACTCACTACAGTCTGTGGCCTGAAGCAGTGGGGTGTGTGTTTGTGTGTTTCCATAGGGGCTGGACTGGAGCATAGTCTTGCTTTTATAAAAACAACAACAACTTTTTTCAGCTACTTCGTAACTTTTCTTTCTTACTTGCTTCCTCGGTTTATGGAAAGGAAGAAAATACTTGGTCCAGCATAAAAAGACAGATATGTTTGGGGTGAGAGGCGTTGGGGCAAAAGGAATTAATAAACAAGAGCTGGGCATTTATTTGAAACAACGTTCTGCTCTTTCCTCCCCTCAGCCCCTCCCTGGGCCTTTTTCAAAGCTGACCATTTGTGGATCAGGAAACGTCAGCGCTCTGAGCCATTGCTCCGGCCCCTGCTCTGTGAAATTATTTCCTCTAAGGCTGTCCCGTTATCTTTTCGCTAGCAGGACGTCTCCCTTTCTTCCCTCCTCTTTGCTCTGAAAGCCCCCTCTTTGCTTTCCCCCACCCTTTTTTTCTTAACACACACACACACACACACACACACACACACACACACACACTTACTTCACTGCCAAAAAAGTCCATCCTCCGCCCCCCTCCCCAGCTAACTTCCTTCCAGCATTTCCTGAGCTGGATAATCCCAGGATTTGTGAAAACAGGGGAAAGGGGAGAGCAGGAGAGAGTGCCTTAATGTAGAAAACCCATTCCTTATTTTTCCTAACATTGTCTGGTTGATGAAAAATAAAATAATATAAAAGAATGGGCTAAAAAGTAATGATCTATAGAGACTTTACTAGTTCTTTTCCATCACGATTTTATTTTTCTCTCCCTTTCCTCTCTTTTTGCAAGTTCATAGAAGAAAGGATTTTGAAGTAGCTGATCTCTTCTCTCTGGCTGACCCAGCAAGATCCAGCTTGATTTAATTTCCTTACCAGCTTGAGTTGGCTTTGGAGGTTCCTGGGATCCAGTGGCAAGGAAGTGAGCACCTCAGCTATCATCAGCCCTCTGTTGCTGGGTTTTTTTCGCCCCATTGAAGCGATTGGTTCCCCGCTATCCACCTCCGGCTTAGGAGAACCGAATGTGGGCTATGATCTCTCTGCTGCTGCCTACTGGAGATCTCTGTATTGTCTGGACCTCTCCCTTCCACAACTGCTGCAGCTGCGATAACTTCACATCTGGTGAGGATTAATGTTGATACATCTAGTTGGACGTTCTTCTGGACTTTCAATGTCACTGACCAGAAACGGGACACTAGCAACCAGGATCTGAGAAGAAGGGGGAGCTTTGCACTTGTCTGGTGCAGACTGAGGGGGGTGGGGGGGAAGGAAGGAGGGTGCAAGCCTCTTTTTGGAACTAACTCATGAAGAACAAGGGAGGAAAGCCGAAACTCAAGAGGAAAGGAGCGGCAAATGTCTTTGGCTGTGATCTGACAGAATACCTGGAGAGCTCTGGACAAGATGGTAATAAAAAAATGGCTGCTTTATTTCTTTGCTGATCTAAAGATACTTTTATTGTCGTCTCCTTTGGGAAGAGGGGGGAAATTAATGGTTTGCAGCTGTAAAACATGGAATCGCCGTGTTCTAGTGCAAAAGAGTGCTTGTTCCTTGTTCCAACAGCAAGCAACCAGCAAAGTTTCAGCAAAATGTTTTGCCATGTGGCAGGGGAAGATTAGCTCTTTGCCTCCAGACTCACATTTGATTCATGTAGAAAAGGGCTATATTTCTCACCCCAAGGTTGTGGGGTCTGGAGATTGTTACTTTGCATTTCACCCTTCCGGGTCTTGTGTTTCTTCCCCACCCCCACCCCCAGATGCCTCGAAATTCAAACATCCACTAAAATGAGTGGGATATCAGAAGTCAGCAATTTTCAGAGTATGGATTGTAGGTGGGACAGCTCTTCTGTAGAGCTTGGGAAAGTTACTTTTTGACTGCAACTCCTAGAATTGCCCACCTATCATGAGCTGTAGCCCTGCTGGCTGAGCAAATCTGAGAGTTCTCCTTCAAAAAAAAAAAAAGGTAACTTTTTCAAACTCTGACTGAGTTCTTAAAATCCAAGCGGTGTTTCTTATCTGAAAGCCAGGGATGTAGGGAAAGGCTGAGCTAAAATAGGAGCAGCAGGCGGTATTTCCTGGATTTCTCACTAGAAGAAGCTCTTGCCTCTTGCCTACAGTTGGTTTTTCTCAGAGGAGCATATGTTGTGTCAGACTCTGGGAGGCAGCAGGGCCAATTTGCTTTTGAAGGGGATGATCTGAGAGAAGCAGAATAATGTTTTAAAAAGTGAACTGGATGACAAGACATATTGCTGAGCTTTTGAAGGGGGAAAGGACATTCTCCTCCTTCTCTTCCTCTTCTTGGAAACCGTATGCTTGATGAGGAACATTCAAGGATTTCTTCCCTCCCATTTGCCATCTGCGTCGACATGACGTTCATTTTCTTCCTTGGTTTTTTTTTTCCTCTTAGAACTCAGACTTTCCAGGGCAAGGACTCCTTTAGTGACTTTATTTGATTGTTTATTCAGTAATGGTGGGGGACGGTCCTTTGCAGCCTCCGTGGAACAAATGCCTCAGAAAGGAAATGTACTCATATAAGTGAAAGGAACTTTGCTGTTTCACAATGGCACACGCTGCCCAAGTGCACCATTGGGTTCTGTTGCTACACATTCACATATTTCTGGTCATTACATGAAGCCCAATTTCATAGATCAGTCTGTAATACAATGCTTAATGTCTTTGACAGATGTGCTGCGGCCAATTGTGGCTGTGTGTATATTGCAAGCACTGCCTAAATGCAGTAATCTCTGGGTTGGAGCTCCTCTCATTTGCTTTTCTGTAGCAATGCTATTGGTCCAACGCATTAAGGAAGAGGGCATTATAAGTGGAGAGAGATCCCAGGCATGCCATGGCTTCACAGCTTATAACCCGCCAAGACGAATGCAGTCCATCAACCATGTTAAAAATTGAATTACATGCAGCTGTGTTCTCATTATGTTCTTCATCTGAGGCTTTGCTGTCATTGAGAGATGGTTGGGATGTAAGGCAGTTGGAATGTTCTTTCTCAAGAAACTTAATTGGCCTCCACTTCATGACTTCTTCTTCATTTATTTATTTACGTTTCTATAATGCCCCATTAGAGCTACCACTCTTGGGGGCGGTCATGATGTATGATGAAATCAAAGCCTAAAACACAGTACAGTATAATAAAGATACAATAAAATACAATCAACTCTGTCATTAGCTAAAAACTACCTTTAAATAAAAATGCACAAATTAAAACCTATTTGAACATCTGAGGACAATATTTACAATTGCAAAAGTCACCTTTATATAACTTGGTCTTAAGTAACTTCCTAAATACAGAGAGGGAACAGCCAGGGGAACCTCTAGCTTGTTCCAGAGGAAATGGGCTGCAACCAAGAAAGCTTGACTCCTCATGCTGGACTTTATTTTATTTTATTTTATTTTTTTTTGGGAAAGCTTGACTCCTCATGCTGAACTTTTTTTTTTTTTGCCTCCTTCAGTGTTACAGTTGTTAATGACTGTGAGAAGTGTGTGGGATGGGCAGTTATTTTTTGGGAAAGACATTCCATTAATGTTGAGATTCTAACTGTTAAGGGCTTCATAGGTTATGATCAGCATAGAAACTAACAGGGAGCTATTGAAGACATGCCAGTCTGTTCACATCTGATGGTACAGTATTGGCAATCAGTCTGGCCACCTTTTGGACCCGCATACTGACTTCAAGGACAGCCTTACAAAGAGAGTTGTTACTATTTTGGAGATTACCAACACATGGACCACTCTTATTATCCAGATAGGAGTGTATTTGGGCAATCAGTCAAAGTTGATAAAAGTTACTCCAGTACTTTGGCCATCTAATGAGAAGAAAAGACTCCCTGGAAAAGACCCTGATGTTGGGAATGTGTGATGGCAAGAGGAGAAGGGGACGACCGAGGATGAGATGGCTGGACAGTGTCTGCGAAGCAACCAACATGAACCTGACACAACTCCGGGAGGCAGTAGAAGACAGGAGGGCCTGGCGTGCTCTGGTCCATGGGGTCACGAAGAGTCGGACACGACTAAACGACTAAACACACACTCTTGGACACAGCAGATACTTCCACCTTCATGGAGAGAGCTGGGTTCAGGAGTACCTCCAGTACCTGCAAATATGATCCTACTGGGGGAGTGTAATCCCATCAAGGTCAGTAAATATCCTTCTAGGTGACCTGACTGTCCATCAAAAGCAGAATCTCTGTCTTATCTGGATTCAGTCTCAGTAAGATGGCCCTCCTTCTCCCCCTCCCCCTTTTGTGGAATTGTGGAAACATTTTTATTTTTCAAGCCTTCTGTTTGATTCAGGTCCTTGTTTTCCTGCTGATATGAGGAAAAGCCATTGCCTGGAAGCAAAACACTTATTTGGCCATCTTCAGTTCCCATCATCTCTTGTTAGGTCTACGAAACATTCTCGTTTGAAGCAATGATGAGTGACTACCAATCACTGTGTAGACCAGCAATGGGCAAAAAGAGACCATCACAGGCGTCTGTATCTCTCACTCAGCTCCCCATCATTCCCCAAATATTTGCATCCAGAATGAAGAATCAAGCCTCCATTGCTTCATTCATTCCCCATTTTAAGGTAATCCAGTTTTTCAGCTGCATCCTGAGGCCAAGAACAGCCTTTCTTCAAAGCTACTGTAGATGAGGGCGTCCAATCACTTTGGCTTTTGGAAAGATCAAAGTTGATAAAAGTTACTCTTGGACACAGCAGATACTTCCACCTTCATGGAGAGAGCTGGGTTCAGGAGTACCTCCAGTACCTGCAAATATGATCCTACTGGGGGAGTGTAATCCCATCAAGGTCAGTAAATATCCTTCTAGGTGACCTGACTGTCCATCAAAAGCAGAATCTCTGTCTTATCTGGATTCAGTCTCAGTAAGAACAGCCTTTCTTCAAAGCTAGATGGGGGCGTCCAATCACTTTGGCTTTTGGAAAGCAAAAGTGTGTATCCTGTGGGTATTTGAAGGTAGTGCGAATTTACTGGGAGCCTGGGATCATATGCAATTGCCTGCCCCTAGCATAGACAATATTGGATGAACAAATATTGCAACTCAGTGGAAATCAGCTTGCAATGTAAGCATTTTCTAGCTAACTCTCATTTTTAATTATTTTCCTTTATTATTTTTTATTATGTTTTACTTGTTTAAGAAATGTTTGCAAACTTCCCTTGGTTCTGAAAGCTTGGGTATTCATTCCCACACACATACAAATGAATAAATAACATTAAATTTTGTGGGAGAGTAGTTTCCCATCTCAGTTTTTGTAGCCCTAGGCAGGCAGCAAACACAGAAAGTTCAGGAAGCTTCTTGTGGGTCACATAGATTGGTAAGACATGTTTAACTCACTGCACTGCCTGTTTTCTAGTCAGCCAGGAAGCAGAAAGCAAAACAACAACAACTAAAATCACTTTTTCTTCTTCTTTTGAAGAAAAGGTATGATAGGATGCTAGGTGTTTCCTAGGAAGGAGAGCTTTGTCCAAAATTTTGTTTTTGTGAGATGCCTCATTTTACCAGTGTGCCCTGTAGTGAAGAACAGAATAGGTAGAAGTCAGTTGCTTTTCATGTCTGTTGAATGGTGTGTCCTTTTGCCCAGTATTGTGTGATCCAAGAATGAAAGTCACTATTGTTGCAGGAGCTACAAGAAAGGATGGATCATAGGGTGTAGGTTAAATCTTAAATATAACAGGCAGCGGTGGGAGTTTGTATTCCTTTGTTCTGTGGCAATGCAAGGAAGTAGAATAATATGAAAGCTGCATATGTCTCTAGGTAGCTGAGAGAGGGTAGAGAAGGGTCAGATGTCAGCGTCATGTATCTTTCAAGCTTTCAAGACTCCCTAATTGGAACTCTTGAGTTAGAATTGGGACATCAGCCACCAGGAGGATGTTTATTCAACATTTCCTACCCATTGAGACCAAGCAGTAACCTTGTATGAAGGGATTTTTAAAATCCGGGATATTTACTCATTTCTTTTTCTGCAGAGGAGATGAACCCAGTGATAGACCTGAGAGCTAGTCATGGGTAAGAATATACTTCTTTGAGATCTTGACCAAAATCATGTGGGATTTTTATACTGGTGAAATGTAACTGGTGTAAATCTTGTTGCCACAGATTAAGAAATTAACACAGTTGCTGTAGCATGCTGATAATTGCCTATACTGATTTTGTAACTTGTGGCCATTTGCCATTGATACGTATGCCAATTACATTATGCCAGCAGGAGTAGGATTTTGGCCCTTGTTTCCCTGATGAGCTTCTAGAATACTTGAGAAAGTTACATAGCAATGGCTACGACAGCCGGGGGTTCAGGGAGTTGTACTCCAAAATAGTAACTTTCTGGAAACCGTTTCCTTCTAACCCACAGTTAAAATTTTCGGAAGTAGTGCTACATGAGAATTGATTATTTTT